ACTTAATTAGTACACTGCTACTTGTTTTATTCTAGTCGTATTCGGTAGCAAGAGATGTTTGGTATGTCGATTCTTTTTCGTTGATCTAGTGTGGGGGGAGTTGCTAACTTTGCTATAATACCCATCATACTGTAATTGAGGTATTAAGTATTTATTGATTGTTAATTTATTATTATTATTTTTTATTTTTTTTAAATTAGATTGATTGTTTTTTTTTTGGAAATAATAGGAAATTAAAACAAAAACACAACAAAAAGAAACTAGGCACAAAGCCTAGACCAGTGAACACCTATAGTGTCACCATACAGACTATCAATACAACCTGACGGTGGACAATCAAATTCCTGAATAACCCAAGAGAAACCATAAGAGTAAGAGGCTAGAAAGTCCGCTACTCTATTTTCTTCACGGTGAATGTGAGACATATAAATCTGCCAATCTCGCTGCATCAAATTTCGAATACGATTCACCAAATTAGCCGCAGGGTAATCATGGTGGCACCCATTTGTAATGAGCTGTTGAGCTGAAAGAGAATCTCCTTCGAGCCAAACTTGCCTAAAACCTCTATCCCAAGCTAGCTCCAAACCAACCAAGCAAGCCCATAACTCAGCATGCAAAACTGTACCTGAGCCTAAATTTTTACAGAATCCGACGATCCAAGTTCCTGAGGCATCGCGAAAAACTCCTCCACACCCAGTCCTAGTACCATTAGCATCACATGCACCATCAACATTAAGCTTAATCCAATCCACAGGAGGACAACACCAAGCAACCAATCTCTCTATTCGATTCCTTGGTTGATTGCCCACTCCAAAAACAGGGTTAGCTGCAAGAGCGACACTATCTCTGAAACCAATTGCTGAACGGATAAGTGAATAAGCATTCTGGCGATCACCTTCAAAAACCCAAGAATTCCTACATTTCCAAATTTTCCAGGCTAAGATTCCAAATAAAAGAGGCCAGTCCGACCCCATCCCCCAATCCTTTGAGCTGTCTAAATTAGAAATGATCCAATTGTGCAGGTTGAGGTTGAAAAATTCACGCTGATTTATATGAGGCATTATCATGCACCATACTTCCTTTGATTGTGGACAGTCGCGAATAGTATGAAGGATAGTTTCACTAGACTGATTACATCTAGGACACAGATCTGAAAGAGCCATATGGCGGCGGAGTCTACAAACATTAGTCATCAGCTTCTCCCCTGCCATTAACCAAAGAAAAAAGCGAATTCTTTCTGGCCCCTGCCATCTCCAAACACTTTCCCAAGGAAACTGTTGGATTGTAGTATCTTTGATGGCTAATATTGCATATGCTGACTTAACAGTAAACTTCCCATCTGTCGTTCCATTCCAAATTAGATTGATTGTTAATTTTACAGTAAGTAGTCGTTAATAAATACATACATACATATATATATATATATATATATATATATATATATATATAATCTTGAAAAAAATATCAAAATAATTTCTATACTTAATAAATATATAGATAATTTTTTATACACATTAATGTACTAAATGCATAAGTTTTAAGAGCGATCTCTAATATATCTTAGTATTATCAATTATGTAAAACTGGAGTATGTTACCACGTACAACCCAATTGGGCCAGTTGGGCTTCTTATTTAGAAACTGACTAAAGTATAAAAGTAATACGACTCGGTTGGGCCAGTTCTTACCCCACGTATAAATGTAGGATAAGATTCTCTCATGATACTTAAATTGAAATGGACCTAAATAGTATATGCCCAACCAAGGCCAGGTACAAAAATTAAAGCTAAAGCCCTTGCTAAGCCCAACTTGTTTTAGGCCTCATAACTTCATTTATTTTACACTGTGTTGAATATTTTTTTTTTTTTTTTTGATAACAACTGTGTTGAATATTTTATAAATGAAATAAAATGTGTTCTTATATTTTATTGACACTATGTTGAATATTTTATAAATGAAATAAAATGTGTTCTTATATTTTATTGATTCTTAATAATATCTTTTATTATTATTTTTTCTTTCTTATTATTGAACATCTATTCAATAATTTTTTCTGACAATTTTTGTTTTTTCTTATCATTTTTTCTTTCTATTATTTATCAGCACCCTTAACCATTTTACTTTTATTTAATGTCCTATGCTCATGAACATAGAGTAGTATAAATTATAAGCCATTAAAATTGGTCTAGTAAAAAAAGATTTGAATAATTTGAATAAGATTATAAATTTGAACTTCAGTGCCACCATTATATTAAAAAAAATTAAGTGCAAACTATGGATTTCTTTTTATCAAATCAAATTTCTTTTAAAAAGTGGTATCTATTCACTAATTATTTTTCTTAACTTTTAAAAATTAAAAAAATAACATTTTCAAATTTATTACTTGCATATTTGATTCTTAAAATACAAAACCACTTTTTAGAAACAATTTTCATTGCACTCGCAAAAGTGTATCAACTTGGAAATATAATTCTATTTACTAATTAAAGGGCTTTATTAATTTACAACAATATGAGAGAGAATATCTCCTATCACTCTCACAATCATATAATGGGATTTACATAATTATATATATAAAAAAATATAAAAGTTCATGTCTCTGCAGAAAAATAGACTACTTTCCTATAACTGGAGAGTAGTTTTTCCCTTAATTAAATATCACTGAAATTCAATTTTCTTTTGCTCACGCAGATACTAGAGTCACTAGACAATTGATGGTAGCCAATAACTTGATCCATCGTCGCTAATAATCAAAATTCAAATATCTTACGTCATTATCAACGATTTACAAGTGACCAACGGCATTGGAACCACCACTAATCACTAAAACCATCACCTTCAATATAAGGGTGTGTTTGGTACAGGAGAAATTTTTTGGTGACCGAGAATCATGATTAATGGGAATTCAGTAGAAATTGAGTTTACTTGGAATCTTACGAAATATGTGTTTGGTTCGCCAAAATATTACCGGGAATATTGGATAAAAATTATTGATTCCATATTTGGTTTAGAACGAAATATGACTTGGAATATGAGGTTATTTTACAAAAATAACCCCAAACTATTTTTACTTTTGTAATTGATAGATTAGGTCTAGATTTTTATGTGTATTGGGGTATTTTTGTCTCAAAATTTATTGTTGTGCTTTCCCTTTACTTGGTATTCTGATTGGTATTCCGAATTACCATATTATTTTTGGTAATCTGAATAGTGACTTTTCTTTATAAATCAAATTACCGGTAATCCTTGGATATCCGGGAATCGTAATTTATTCCTTCTACCAAACGTGGTAATTACATTTACCAAAAAAGGATTACCGGTAATCTCTCCAAAAACTTGAACCAAACACCCCCTAAAATAACATTATAAAATATTTAAGACAAGTTAAATAGTCCTAATAGCAAAGGAACTTGACCCACTACTATTAATCAACATCTCACTTCACCACTTTCTTTCAAGTTCCCTCTATTACACATTATCATATCCATTGAGCATTGTATCACATCACTAATCACTTGCTAAACCACTTATTATATTCACAACTTCTCAACGGCTAGTTTATTTTATCTATATATGTCCCCTATAGCAAAGGAAGAAAGAGGTTCTTTCATTATTCACAAGACTTGTCATCATGACTACAACCTTCATATTTGTGCCTGAATCACATCTTATCTACTAAGTAGATGACTTATACACATATTTCTAATTCACACCATCGAACTATTTGCTAGAGGTACTAAACTTTTCATTAACAGTCATCTCCACCTTTGTTCGATAGATATATTTACTAGCTCTTCAGCTAGATATTGATGTTCATCTCCGAACATAAAATAACATCTTTTTTAGTATTTCCTATAAAAAAAGCTCAATATATAATAGAATAAAATTATTTTAGTGTGTTTTTTTTAGTCGATCAAAACAATTTTTTTTTCTCTCTCAATACATTTAACTAAAACCGAACAAACTTAACGAATTTCATTTTCTCCCTATAAAACTGACGTGCACCCGCAATAATCCCTAAGACTTAATTTTGATTAAAAAAAATTACTAAACACAAAATGGTGGTAGTTTAATTGGCATATAGGAGCTAGGCAGGTGGGGGTGAGAGCATGTGTTCGAGTCTCCACAAAATCACATTTGGGAAGGGTTTAAAGCCTTAATTCTGGACCCGCCCCGAATCGAATTAATTGCGATATAATGAACCGATTAAAATATTTTCAAAAAATAAATAAATTACTAAACAATATCTTCAGACTTAAAAGAAGTTGTATTTAATGTGTAATGGGCATACGATACTTTTTTGTGTTGATAGATATTTGACACTTAGTATATAGATTAAGCAAAATTTGTGGTTTTTCATAAATACTATAACATAAAATTTATTATAATACTATTTAAATTATACATTAGTTTACGCATAATATAGCTAAAATACTAAAAGAGTCATGTATAAAAAAAAAAAAATACTAAATGAGTAAAAATTATTAATATTTTTTCTCTATTTCGTCGTGGATAAGATTTTGGAAAAAAAGAGTGTTTTTCTAAAAGACAAAAGTTTATGTTTTTTTAGCAGTTTTTATCTATATATTTCTGGAAATATATAATTATAATATTAAAGTTATATTTTTTTATTTTTTAAAACAAAATTTATAATTCTAACATTATAACTATACATTTTTAAAAATACATAATTAAAAATGGTAAAAAAAATTGTGTCATTTAAAATAAAATTAATTGAACTCTAAGATTTTATAATCTAAATGTTACCAAAAAAAAAAAAAAAAAAAAGATTTATAACCTAATTTTATGACTAAGAAAATTCAAAAGAAACGGAACCAACAGAAGCAGAAAAACGTGAACACAAAAGTGGTGTCAGTGATGAGCTATGGCATGGTTTTGCATGTTCAGTTCGAATCCCAAGTGGCAGAGGTAACCGCAAATGCATCAGAACTCAGAAGCACTTTCCCCGTTAACCTCATCCGTTACTCCGCCATGTGCCGACGGAACACCACCCTACATCGAAGCATCCAAATTCAAAACCAAAACCCTCACATTATGTGTCTTCCCCTTTCTTCTCTTCTCCTTTCTCACTCTCTCTCACACACACACACACACAACACAGCAAATGGCAATACCTATTCTGCAAAACGAGCTTCGCTGCTTCGTCCAATCCATGTACGACGAGGTACATATAATTTCACCTTCCACGTTTTGCAGCTTTTCACGACGTCGTTCAACTGTTTGAGGTTTTTTTTTTTTTTTTTCAGGGAATTGTTAATGAGCAATTCTTTCAGATTCAGTATATGAAGGAAATGATTCGGAACGATTATGCTGTGAGAGCAATCACTAGCTACTGCGTTTCTTGCACTAGGCTGTTTTCTACTTTGTCGGATCAAATGTAACTAACGATAACCTTCTTCTTCTTTTTTTTTTTTTTTAAGTCTTACTGTTTATTTCGTTTCCGTAATTTCTGAACTTAGGTTTTTTTTTATGCCTTCTGTGGTTGAATTCGTTTATTTAATTGTTGCCCGTTGTTCTGATCTGCAGCTGCCAAAACGAGGTTGATTTTCAAAGGGTTCGTGATCTTGCTTCTGAACTCTATGCAATATCATGCAGGTAACTTGTAACTACGCTATAGGTCTACTGTAAAATGATTTATTTATTTTTTAAATAAATTTGGTGCTGAGGTGGCTATTTACTAAATTTACTGAATTTCCTTATAAAATGTTTTGATGTGAATTAATTGCTTCCAGTTATGTATGCTGTTTGTAGTTTGTTTTTTTTTTTTATTATTTACTGTTCAAAATGAAAATTCCCTTGTATAGATGGGCAATTTTTCCTTCTAATATAATGTATATCAAATTAAATGCTTGATTTTCCTTAAATGTTTTACATTCAGAACGCAATTTTCTTATGTTGACATGCATACCCTGCTTAAATGCTTGATTTTTCTTTGATGTTCTACATCTTCAGAACTCAATTTTCTTATGTTGACATGCATACCCTGCTTAAGTGCTTGATTTTTCTTTGATGTTCTACATCTTCAGAATTCAACTTTCTTATGTTGACTGAGCATTCCCTGTTTAAGGGCTCACGAGATATTAGATGTGTTTTTATTTTATTTTATTATTGTTTTTTGTTTGTGTGTGTGTGGGTGGAGGGGGGGTTGTCTTCTATCCTCTTTGTGTTGTTGCCTACCATGTTACTACTTACTACCATGTTTCCTAAGTACCAATCAAAAGTATCAAATCAAATTTCTATGGTATATTCATAATTCATGGCTGTTGTCAGTGGTCTCCAGAGATCGCTGGGTTATTTCATTTTTAAAATAGAAAATTTAATTGTTGGTTAGCTTTTAATGTCATATCAATGGTAATTGGCTTTGTGCATAACTATGACCTTTTTAATTAATTATTTCTTACTTTTAGATATTTTCTGAGCAATAAATTACTGTGCTTTTCTGTGCTCATTGCAGTTTTGGCGCAAAGAATGTTAGATTTGCATGTGTTGATCTTCTTCATGCTTGTGAGAGGAAAGATAAGAATTTGTAAGAAAACTCCACCATCATGAATCTTTAGTTTATTTTCACATGTGACATTAGATAAATTTCCTGGTTATAGTGGATGAATGATCATTGCTCTGATGCACTGTTGTATTTCCCCAAAACTATGTTCCAAATCAATCAGTTATGTGCATATATAGTATCTATGATCTATTTGCTGATACTCTTATCCATTATCATCTTACATACTTTTCCTCTTTAGTACCTCAGTTCGATCCTCACCGCCTACATTCTATTAATAAATAATTAAATATTGTGGAGTTTTTTTAACATAGGTAGATAGGTCTGTGCATTATCGTGTTAGAGAAATATGATATAAAATCATTGATTTGGTCTTCACCTAATAGCTTAAGTTTTTGGGTTAAAATGGTTATTTACATGTGAGCATGGAGTTTTTTTTGTAAAATACTGCATATAGGTTGCGTGTGTTAAAATGATACGATATGCTACGTAGAAGAGAACGGTAGCAGTTAGTTGTCATGCAGGTAGTTGTGCAGTTGTGTAGTTCAGTTGATGTGTTTGATGAGTTGGTTATCAGCTAGTTAGGAAGTCGGTGTCTGTTAGTTGGTCCCACGTGCATGGGGACAGTTAGGGTCAGTAGGAGTACAACAGTATATAGCCATATGTCATATTGTAAAGAAGGCATGCAAGATATAGAAATCTCCTTCAGTTTCTCCTTTACATTATCCTTTTCTCTCATGCGTAGGAGTTCTCTAAAAACAGTCCTGTGATGAAAAAATTAATCTGATCATGCAAAATGGAAGTATCAGGATTATGTTTCATCAAATAAAGAGTACATTAGCATTTATTTCTTTATGAATTGTTTTCCTTAGGTATATTTTATAAATAACATTCTTAATGGAACTACGGTCAGTTGAATGCATAATTTTTGAAAGTCACCTTTGATTGATTAACATTGCAGCAAATCCTATATGAAGAATGTTGTGGAGGATTCTAGTCAGCGGAATATTTTTTATTATGTTGCTTTTGAAAATATAGTCTTAATACTACTTATCAAACCTATGATGCAAATTATTATAATTAATGATAGCAGAATTTCAAATTACTACGCAGACGCACAAAATGAGAGTGGATCATTGAACTATTGTTATTGTATATAAAACTAAAGGATCATAACAATCAATTATTTTTTTTCTTTTCCTTATTGTTAGATCCTCTAGATTTTGTTCAATTCTACCATTTTATAATGGTAAAGATATCCCCTTTTCTTGTGATGTTTCAGCTGCTCCCAGGCTTTAAATTGGACCAAGAACAGATTTTGTCATTTGAGGATAAAACTTGAAACCCTTGTGCAGGTATATCATTATCACTTACTAAAGGTTTGGCTTTAAAGACTGGTCGAATGTAATTTCTCTTTTCGCCGGCTTTTTGTATATAGTTTGAATAGTAATTGGTGGAAACTGATAACCTTAACCCATTTTGGCAATCAGAGTTTGATGTAAAACATTTAAAAGAATTTTTGACTATATTGGCTTTTAGTGATTGCATATTGTGCTTATAAAATCCCTAATTTACTTTTTTTTTTCTTTTTGGTGTATTTTGTGCGAGTCGCAGTTGGTGCAACAATTCATATTTGACATATGTTAATCTAAATTTTGTCATTACAGGGAAAAATTAAAGGCCGGACATAAAAATGTTGAAAAAAGTGTTTTTTTCCTGGAAAGACAACATTTCTCTATTTGCTGCCTTTACTTGTAATTTTCTGATTTAAATCCTTGTATGTTTTTATTTGCTTAAATTTGGTGTTTCCTATCATACTAAATTTAAAGAGTTTATGGTCAAATCAAAGCTAATTTAAACATACAGTGATTAAATTGAGAAGATTAGAAATGAACAAAGTGACAAACCAAAAACAGTTGCTGCATACATTAGAGCACTTTCCTTTAATTAAGTTCAGAGGCATTGGTTGGGCAATCTGTGGTGGCTGTGTGCTGTTCTTGGTTTCTTGGCTGGGATGAAGTGCCTTGATATGGGAAAACCTTTATCCTTAGACTTGCTCTGTGACGGAATTGGTTCCGTAGCCTCTCTTGGTACATTGTTTCAATGAGACATCAGAGAGTCCCACTGGTATACATGCAGTGGGACTGAAACCTCTTTTGTTTTGTTATGTTTTTGTAATATTCAGTGTGATTTTTTCTTAGCTTTATGTGAGGATGATATCTTATTCTCCCCAGTACTCATTACCTCTTAGTAATAACATTTCTTCTGTTAAACAAAAAAAAAGGGAAAAAGAAGACAAAGCAAAAAAAATAAAATTTTGACTCTTTATTCAATTCTAGTAGTTTGGGAGATGATAAACCTTTATGGGAGAAGATCTAAAAAACTCAGATATATTGTGATTTTATTGTTTACTGTGAGTTCATTACTTGCATTTTCCTTGTGATGTAAAGAGGCAGATTGATCAGGAAGCATGCTCTATTAATGTAATATTATCTTTCTAAGGTTGGTGTTATATATGTGCACTAAAGAGCAATCCTTCTATTTACATTTGTCTGTGCTATTTTCTCAAATTTTTTGTTCCTTCAAGTCATTGTAAATCAGGATGTTGTTAGGAACTTCAAATCTTCAAATGTTCTTATTATTTTCTACTCTACAACTCTTAAATGTACAGATGGAGAGGACTATTATTGATCTTCTGAATATTCAGTGAAAAGAATGGATCACTTATGATATCCACAACTGAAGCATATCTGGTTGAGATTTCAGATATGATTTGTTGACTTCAGTTGCTGTTTTCTATGCCTTAGCCTCAGGTTTGGGTCCAGGATAATGCCATAATCTGTATTCAGTATAGCTATGAACCTGTTTTATCTGTGTATCCAATTCAGCTTCATAGTCTGGTTTTATAATTAATGGGGTTTACACACCCACATATATATATATATAGGGCAATGCTTTTCTCTTGCTATAGGAGAAAACATTGCCTCATGTTGTGAGGCATTGAAATTTGAGCCCTTATTTATTTTTATTTTTTTAAAAAACAGTGGGGCCCACGATTTGTTCTCTCTGTTGGAAATGGAAACTTCTCTTGCAACAAGAGAAGTTATTATCCCATATATATATATATATATATATTCAACTTGAATGGTTTGAATTTCCTTTTGAAGGTTGCATTTGGGCTTTGAGAGTTTTACACTTCAAGAATTTTCTTAATTATAATAGGAACTTTTACTAGTGGCATTTCAAAATGTGGATATGTTCTTTGGTTGCTTTAATATTGATATTCAACAAATTTTAGCTGCAAAATATACTAGTTCGAAGGTGGGCAATTGAAAAGTCCTTAGTAGTTTAAATCACGGGGACAGGGAGGAGGGGGTTTTGGGGGAGGGGTGTTGGATACAGCTACTACATGTTTGTTTATGCCCAACAATAGGTTAGCCAAATGGTGTGGAATTACGGTTCCTTGTAGTGATAAAAGAATAGGATCCTATCAAGCTGCTGTAATTTTTTGCTGTATTTTGTTTTTGTTTCTTGTTCTTTTTTCCTTTCTTGAAAATGCTAGACAGAAAGGTTCTGTATTAAAAACTGGTTTTGATAATAATGCTTTAGTCTGTTGTTATTTATGTCCAATTTGAATTCACAAAATAGTGCATGTTATAAACATGTTCGACCATCTAATCCAAAAGGTTGGGTTTTGCGATTACCCTTACATGTAAAATTTGGTACGCCCATTATTTGATGCTTTTGGGGACTGGGAAGAAAAGCATGGTAGTTTTGCTTTATATTGGGCTATCTTTTTCTATGGAGTTAATACATCTATTAAGGCTTCCATTCTGTTAGGATGATTTTAGATTTAGTGTCCATTACAGCTCTCAATTTATAGTGTCATGAACCAACTATTCCCATAGTTTAAGCTGTTAGGTTAGGTGATGACACATGAATGGTTTTATATTACATCTCTAGCACACCTCCTAACACGAGTTAGTTGGGCTTATCACGTGGACAAAGCACAAGCCCCTCAACTTTTTATTAGAAGAATAGGGGCCACAAGGATCGAACTGTAGATTTCTTGGTTATAGAGGCTTTATACCATGTCATGAACGAATTGTCCCAAAATGTTAAGTTATTAGGCAAAGACACATGAATGATTTTATATTACATCTCCACCTTAGAACACTTTTAGTCTTAGCTAATACTGTGATTTTTGTTTGATAAAATATAATAGATCCAGGGAGAGAGAAACATTTATATTACATCTCTAACGTAGAACACTTTTAGTCTTAGCTAATGCTGTGATTTTTTTTTTGATAAAAAAAAATATAATAGATGCGGGAAGAGAGAAACACATGTGCAAATGCTTGCATGCAAAGAGATTTTATTATGGAAAGCTTAAAGAATGGATTGATCTTCTTTAGAGTAGCAGACATTTTCCTTATAAGTAACCTAATAATCATGTTACTTTCAAACCTGAAAACTCGAGTTTGTGTCGATCTTATTTAACTAAAATTTTCAATAATTTCTGGAGGTTGTTCCTTGACATAGTATTTGAGCCTTTTTATTAGCCAAAAGGTCATGAGCCACTTGTGTCATTTTGTTCCTCTTATGTCAATCTGACCTAGCACATCTAAGTGATTGCATTTTATTAGCTGTATGGGATTGCAACTATTTATTACTTGCCTTCTTGAGTAGCATCTTTTGAAAGGAAAGAAGGAAAGGCTAATCCAAAAGAGGCAGAGAATTAATTTCATATTGTCAACTTTTTCAAAAATGAAATATTCCCAGTAAAGGAAAGTCTCAATTTTAATATAGTATCATAAGTAAAATGATATATAGAATACCTGCCCTTTTTTTTTCACCAGCACATACGAGAATGGTGAATAATCATAACCACAACTCAAAAGTATACTTTTACGCAATTATGGTGACATGCGCTAACATGCATGTCAATCTGATTTTTTATGTTAAAAGTAATAATAAAAAAAGAAAATAAATTTTTAGAAAAACTACCTGCTAGCAATAGGTTCTTCAAACCCATTATCCGACATATTAATATAGATATACTAGTGTTTTTCACCTCACCTAAAAATTGTCTTCTCCCATGAGTTAAACCATGCCATGCTGTTTTCAGATTGTTTTTTGTCTTTAGTTAAAGGGAAACTTGAAATTTAAAGAGAGGGCCTTCTTTCTCCAATGTCCTTATGACCTGAGAATCAGAAACAAATTTTCCTAGTAAAGTTAGTGACACAGATTACTATCTTGGAGTGTCTTAGTTGTGCTATAACTTTCCTAGACTTCATTTTGGTATTTGTAATTGTCTTACTATCTTTGCCATCCGAAGAAGATAATTACTAAGAAAATTCCATATATGGTTGTACTGTATTTTTCAATAAACAACCAGCTTAGAATATTTCAAAACACTTTTACTTGTCACCAGTTGTTTTGTCTTTCCATTTTTTTTGTCACCGACATTGTATAACATATATATATTGACTCGCATTAAATTTAGGGAGATTTACAATTTAGGAACTTCTAGAATAAACTTTCCAATTTATGACCATTAACCCCTCCACTGCTTAATTTGGTCAATACATGTTTAACACATTAATCACTTGAGTAGTTAAAGTTCCTAATTTGGGAAAACAAATTATTAAGAACTTGTAATCATAATTCTCCCTTAAATTAATGTGTCCATGTTTTTAAGGTAGAATGATTGTCATAATTTATGGGCTTAAAATAAGTGGCTAATTTCAAAGCATTAAACATAATGGCATTGAAATTGTCTCATTAACTTCCATAAAAGTACAGCTGTACTGCCTTGGCATACTCTAATGACTGTTCCTTTTATTTTTTTTAGGGTTCCGGTACACTTAGCAATTAGTGGCCAATATTCAGCCATATGTCCCATTTACTTGAAATGTAAATATAAAAATATTTTATTATATTTAATATTTCAAATAATTGGGACACATGACTAAATGTTGATTATTAATTGTTAAGGATTACCGGTATCCGCACAAAAGACAGGGCACCAGAGAAACCTTCCTTACAAATAAGCAGTAGACCTTGACAAGCTAAATAGATCTTGCCTTTTTCTTAGAATTTTCAATTGAGGAAGATATGGGGTCTAATATTCTCAAAAAAGGCATGACTCACTTCACAGGTCATAATTACAAGGACACAAAAAGAAGAAGAAGAAAAAAGAAGATTTTGGTGAGATCTTTGCTTTGTTGAACTTGTAATAGGGGTGATATAATCTTGATGTTATTGTAAAAATTTACCCTTAAGGGAAATATGTTTATTCAAGTCTCTGAACAAGTGTTTTTGCCAACAGACAAATGGGCAGTACATCACTATTTGGCTAAATCCATCAGCTAAAAAATGGAACGTTGTATGACACTCTCAGTTCAATTATGGTAAGAACATAGTTCGATGCAGTTTAGGCAAGCATTCCATTTTTAGTTGATGGATATAGCCAATGCTGCCCAGCTGTATGTTGGCAAAGACACTTGCAAGAATTTGTTTATGTAATCATTTATATTCAAAATAAGGAAACTAATCCACTTCTGCCAGAAAAAGACAGAAAAAATTTGTTTGCTTTTACTTCAATGTTTTAATGGTGTTTTAATGTTTAGCTCTCACTATGATTGACCAAAGGGTAGAGGGGATCATGATTTACTGCCTATAATTTTTAAACCATTAGTAATATATGATAGTGTTATTTACTGCCCCTTGTCATTGACAATGGCATGAGTGTTAATTTGTGAATTATAGTGGCTAATATCACAAGGATCAATGCTAAAACATATGATTAGCTGACAGATAGTTCCTATCTGGCATACATTCAGCATTTGTTTTGGAAATTGTGCAATCTGGCACTCATGCCATGATTGCCATCTGACAGATAGTGTTATTTGGTATGAGTTTGGACATAATTTAAAAAATGAGGAAAGGAAATTGTGCTGCCATTTGTCATTGACAATGGCATGAGTGTTAATTTCTAAATTCTATTGGCTAATTTCATAAGGATCAATGCTAAAACATATTATTATCTGACAGATAGTTTCTATCTGGCACTCATTCAGCATTTGTTTCACTACTCATTTAGGGTGTCTAAATCTCCATTGAAAAAAGACGCACCTCTCTTACAAGATGATCTCTTCCAAGCAAAGCCTTCTTCTAGTTTTACTTCTCTAGGGTGGCAGCTTTTCTTACTTTTTTTTTTAGTAAAAAATAACTAAGAGAATTCTCAATGGAATCCTGTAAGGAACTAAGGATACATACATTCATTGTTTGATGAGGTAAACAAATCCTTGTTAAGTGATTAAATTTTGATCTTTTGCTAAGTTGATTGGAAAAGGATCTCTCTAGGGTTCCCATACTCTACAAAATTATGTGTTGTTTTTCTTAATTTTTTTTTTTTTGTGAGTATGGCTGTTACGACTTGCATTTGACATGGGGAGCTTGGAGGAATATTCCTGAAGAAATATATCCAGGAAACCATTAGAAGGCCAGGCCAGTCTGTAATTGTTGTATAGGGTCGGTTAGATGGGATAGTTAGGTAGTTAGTTGGTTAGTTGGTTAAACACTTATGTGAGAAGCCTAGAGGCTGTATATAAGGGAGACTCACCTTATCGATAGATATCTTTTGGCTATTCAGTTTTAAACTGAGACATTCCCTGTGTGAAGGGAGAATTCCCTTGTGAAGAGGATTTCCTCTTCTATTCTTACATTCTTCATTCATCAATAATACCATTCTTTTCTCTCATTTTCTCTTCTTTTTTTTCCTTGTTCCCGAAAATTGTTTTCCCAATTCCTATCTTTAAAAAATCCAGAGCTGTAACAATGACATTGCAAGCTCCTTATATATGGAGTGACTTAAGATTTGTTTCAGTATCTTAAATTTCAAACTACATTCAAGCACTCTTTTGCTGAATTTTTTCAATATATTTTTCTCTTTGGAGAACTGGCATCAACATCTATTACAGAAATTTACTTTCTAACCATCTTTTGCATTATTGCTGTTAAAGACTGTTCAGATGTTTGGCTGTGTTCCCTTGCCTTTACTTGCAGGGGGTAGTGAACGATCAATTTAGTTGGATATAGTCTCTAAAAAATGCTGGGGAACCAGATTGACTTGAGCAGCTGATAGAAAAATATTTCACAGATGTAGACACGATCCTTTGAGTTTTCTCCTCATATGTAATGATGTTGCTCATTTCATGGTTTTCTATTATCGAGCTGATAATCTGATACGACACCAGTCCTTAAAGAGTATTGTAGGAAGCATAGCATATTCCCGTACCTCAATGCTGACTCAGCAAATTGGTTAGTAGGGAATACTCTAGAAGTGGGTATAGATAATAAATAGAGGTATGTGAAGTGTGAGGGTATCGGAAATCTTGGATTGGAATTGGAACTTGGGAGAGAGTGAGGCCTCTCCAATTGTCTCACACTATATTTACATTTCTGCATTTTCTGGTTCCTTGTATTTTTCCTTTCCTTTCGGTAATTGTCTCTATTTCACTGTCATAGTTTGTAATTGTCTCTTGATGAAAATATATAAAATCTGAGTATTCAGACCAAAGTTCCTTGGTTCTCTGTTTTTTGGTTCTGTTTGTGTGGAAGGATCCTATCATAATCTATTTAGTTTTTCTGACTAGCATTTCTATACCTACATCTATCATAATCTATTTAGTTTTTCTGACTAGCATTTCTATACCTACAGTGATATTCCAAAAGTTGGCCTCCCTAGCTCGTGAAATGGAGGAAAAGAGCGCAAGGTAACTTGCATTTTCTATCTATTACAATTATTTGAGTCGTTAATTAGGAACCTTTATTCATACGCTGTGCATCTATTTGCTTTGTTATCATTTTCCTGAATTGGAGATGGGCATTTAGTCTATATCAGGAACCAGTGCTTTCTAAATGGTATAAAAATGCGAAAAGAACTCTTTTTAAACAGAATGGCTTTACTTTTTTACTTCATACATCTGTCTTTTTCTATTTTACTTTTTTTCTTTTAGATTATCGTGAGATTTTTGTCAATGTAAATCTTGACCTACGAGCATCAGCTGTTGAGCAATGGCTCAGTAATTGTTTTGGTAGAGATTCAAAACCATGTCTAGCCTCCACCCAATACTTTAAGCTGTATAACCAAGTGATTAGAAGTTTAATCCTTACTGTACCCATTCTTCATAATAATAAAATAAATGTCAGCTCAAGATAAAGTGAATAAGTGCATTTCCACGCTTTTGCTTGAGGGGCAATGTCAAAGATTTTGAAGTTAAAAATAAAACCAGTCTTAGACCTTCACTAATAACTTTTCATTTATGGAGTTGGTTTCTAACTGTTTTCATTAGTAACCTGAAAAAAGTGAGAGTACTAAGTACAGTTTGCAGCATTGAACACACTGTGGAATATAAAGCTAATTAACATACTTCCCACTTCCCCTTTTTCTGATATTGTGCACAATTGGTTGACACTCTGCCACCTCCAACCTCTTCTCGTGTTTGTTTGTTTGCATTTATCAGATATCTTTTAACTATTTAATGTAATATGTTTAAAGATCATTGATTACAGCTTGTGGAGTTTTAGTCCTGCTATTCAAGTTGATACCATCTGGTAAGCTAGATATTTTTTATATTTTATCATTTCCAAGTACGTGATGAACCATTGCATGTTATCATGAGAATGAAGGTAATATAAACATAAAGCATTTTGTTTTTACTAAAAAAGGAAAACAGAAAAATTAAAGAAAATTTGTTATACAAGTTTTATCGCAATTTTTCACAGTAATTGATATTAGAATCCTACCAGGTACCTTTATTATGTTAATGGACATGGATGCTAATGAGAAATGTGCTTATAATGCATTTACTGCTAAGAATAATGTGAAATGAGTACTTGTCTTTTGAATCTTTGACTGGCCTGTTTCAATAAGTGACTGCTTTTATACAAGAAGTACTGTTTTGTTCGAGAGATGACATGTAGTATTGGATTATGTAACTAAAAAAAGATGTGTATTTGTTTGGAGCTTGATTACTTAGTTGTTTCTTTGGAATTTGTTAAATTTAATATTCGTAAATTTCTTTTTTTGGTGTGAACAGTAAAGGTGATTGAATGGTAGCTTGACTTAAGAACCACTCGTATCCTTCAGCGTAAGATAACCCATGTGATGACATCTCTTCTCTCTCTCTCTCTCTCACACACACACATGCACATTTGCTTGCTTGCAGGGGCAGGGTACACACAAACACCTTGATTGAAAATTTTCAGGTATGTGCAGAATCGTAGACCATTATTTGTTAACAAGAAGAAAGTTCATGACTTAGTGTTCTTTCAAAACATGAATCATTTCCACTTCCTAAATGTATTCTTTTTTAAGCGTATGTAAGAATGCTTATGTTGTGGGGAAAGCCGAAAGCTTTTGTCTTTCATAGTATCCTCATAAACATCTTTTCCATTGTTTAACGTGATACAGTGAACGATATAGGTCTTTCATTTTTATCGTTTTATGTATATAACGGAGTTTATACTCTATAGAACATTAACGAATTCTAAGAATAAAATTTGAAGTATTGGAGCACCTTGTTCGAATCCCTCATGTCACCTTATTAGAGACACATTTTTTTAACCTAAGAATATGTTTGGATGGAGGGATTCGAAAAAAGAGAAAAACAAAAGGAAGGTAAATTTTTTAAAATGTGATATCCATGGATAGCAAAACACAATTTATTGTAATATAATGTGTGTTGTTCACGATGAAGAATTTTTAGTTTTTTATTTTTTTCGTCTTTTTTGGTGAAAGAGATTTTTTTTTGTGTGTGTGTTGTAGAAGAGATTTTGTAACTTATTTAATCAACATTAATATCAATAATATTTTTATCCCAAATTAGGTGGAGTCATGAACCCAAATAAATAAAAAAAACAAAAATTGAGGGAAAAAAAATTATAAATAACACGAAATAAAAAAATAGCAATAGATAATTAAAGAAAAAAATAAAGATAAAAGATAAATTAGAGAGAAAGAAGTAAAAATTAAAAAGAACCCCCCCCCCCCCCCCCCCGCGGTGGGTGAAGAAAGAAATAATGTGAGATATAGAGAAAAATGATTAAAAATGAATTATATGGAATGTGTGAAGAAAAACAAATTTAACCCTCCACAATATTAATAATTTTCGTCCAATTCATCTTAATATATGTCATCGGTCAATTTATATCTCACTCTATTAAGTTTTGTTTTATTATCTTTTTTCAAGTAAGTTTTGGCTGACATCTTCATTTCTTTGTGTCAAACTATTGTTAACAATTTTTTGTTCTTGTAGGAATAGGGGTCTTCGCATTATGTGCTCAAAATATCTTCATTTTTTATTTTATTTATTCTTGTATGACCCACACATTCATCTTAACATCCTCATTTCTGCAACTCTCAATTTATGCTCATGTTATTGATGTGCAGAGCAACAGTTAGTTCCATATATCATTGCATGTCTTATTTTTGTTCTATAGAATATTCCTTTTGGTCTAAAAGGAATCTTGCGGTCACACAAAAATCTTAATGCACTACATCATTTCATTCACCTTGCACTGATTCTATGATTTATATCCTTGTCAATTTCTCCACCCTTTTGCACAATTGATTCCATGTATATGAAAGTATCATTTTTAAGTACTTTTGTTCAAGCAAATGTATGGAATCTTGATTTCCATCTCTTGCCAAAATAATCTCATACTTCATATACTTAGTCTTGCTCTATTTTAGTGTAAATTCTTTTGACTCCATAACCGTTGGTCATCTCTCTCCTTGTTGCAAAGATGATGGCGGCTGCAATGCTGTGATCTCTTCTATCTTGCACTTAGGTCACCCAAGGTGAGCTTAGGGTTTGTTTTGAGCCCACATGTATCTTGGTAATAAGAGATTAGTTAGTGGGCTGATGTGTTTAGTTTTTTCTCTATTTGGGTTGATGTTTTTTGTCTAAGATTTGAGTTGGTGACATTGGAAGGATTAATTTAGGCATAAATGATAATTCTAAAAATTACATTGGAAGGATTTCAGATTTGATAATTTTATTTGTATTTTGTTTATGCTAGAATGTGCTCCATATAATGGCTTTCTGCATTTTTGTCCCCTCTCGTTTAAATTCCTGGGTTCGCCACTGCTGACAATGCACATGGGTTGCCTGCAACAAGGCGTCCTTGTTTGACCCTAAAACCCTCTTTTTTCGTTTCTCTTAGATATGTATTATCTTTTTTCGTTTTTTAAAAAAAATTTCTCTGATGCTTGGAAGTATCCTCGAATGTTGTTGCCCAGTGTTCCCTTTCTTTATGCTTCAGCGTTTTTTTTATCTCCTCTCCCTTATATAGCTGTCCGACTCTATGTAAAACCTTTTTTTTATCTCCTCCAATCTTGCATATACAATAACTTTAAAATTAAAATAAAAATTAAAATTGGGAGGACGGTCGCTAACCCTAGCCTCCCAAGGTCTGCCGCTAGTTCCATTACAAGGATTCACACATAGCAGCACCATTATATATATCCTTATCTCTACATGCTTTGATGATACTTTTTTATTCTCAAGAACTCACGATATAACCTTTCTTTGAACTCTATCATATGTATTCTCAAGATCTATAAACATCATATCCAAGTCTTTTTTCTGCTCTTGATATCTTTCTATTAATTCTTGTATGAAGAAAATAACTTCTATGGTACATCTTCTTAGCATAAACCCAAATTGATTTATAGAGACATTGGACATTGGCCTCTCTTCTCAAGCAATATTCACTAACTCTCTCCTACAATTTTATTGTATGGCTCGTAAGCTTAATGTCTCTATAGTTATAACTTAATTTAATGAGTAATTATTGTATGGCTGATAAGCTTAATGTCTCTATTTAATGAGTAACAAAAAGTGTGTGTGTGGTGTTAAAATCATTATTCTAGCATCTAGACATCCAACAATAAATTTTACACAGTTGATTGGTTATGATTCTCTGTATTTAATATTCTTACTCACCTTTGTATGGTTATGATTCTTCAAATTTATTTGTTGGATGTCAAGCGGCTAGAGAAAAGTAAAATCCACCTTTTTATGGTTATGATTCTTCGAATTTATTTGTTGGATGTCAAGCGGCTAGAGAAAAGTAAAGTTGTGTGTGTGTGTGTGTGTTAAAATTATTTTTCCAGCAGCTGGACGTCCAACAATAAATCTTACACAATTGATTTATGATTCCTCGCATTTAATGTTTTCTCTCACATTTGTATGGTTATGATTCCTCGTATTTAATGTTTTCACCTATCTTTGTATGGTTATGATTCTTCGAATTTATTTGCTAGACGTCAAGCGGTTGGAGAAAAGTAAAGTTATATATATATATATATATATATATATATATATATATAGAGAGAGAGAGAGAGAGAGAGAGAGAGAGAGAGAGAGATCTTTTGACTCCAGAATAAGATTTGGAGTCAAACAATCCCTCCCCTATATATATATATATATATATATATATAGGGTCAGGATCATTTTACACTAGTGTAAGTTACACTCTTAATCTTTATCCGTTGATCCCACTTATATCTAAAAGCTCTAATTTTTTAGTAATATGAGCCATTGGATGCAAGCGGATCAATGGTTAAGATTAAGTGTAAGACTTCTAACTCTTACACCGGTGTAAGAATATCATGCCCTATATATATATATATATATATATATATATATATATATATATATATATATATATATATATATATATATATAGGTAAAATCATTTCTGCAGTCACAGCAACGACGAGTATATGGTTATGATTTCTCATATTTAATGCTTTCATCATTTGTATGATTATGATTCTCCGCATTTAATGCTTTCAAGTATATATATGACAAGTATTTGATTGCTGCACGTACAGCAGTTGCAGAAATATAAACCCCATATATATATATATGGAAAAAGTTTGTCCTTTTAAAGCATATAACTTTGTGTTATTTTAGATCTTAACCGTTGATTTTTATTAATCAACGGTCAGAATTTACTAAGTCAAACTTATTAATTAATTAGTAATTCGCAATAAAATTCAGTAAATTTTAACCGTTGATTGACGAAAATTAACGGTTAGAATTTAAAATGATACAAAATTATATTCTTTAAAAACACATGAATGAGACGCAAGGCACATCTTCATGGCCCCACCAATATCAAGCATTTTATCCTCTGATTACTCCATATAAAAAAAAAAAAAAAAAAAAAACGTGATACGTTGATTTATGGGATGTAGCATCTGTTAACATTGTATTATCAGCATAATTCGCATTTGATCAGTCATTAAATATATCTTCTTATTTTCAAAAAAAATATATCTTCCTCTAGGCCCTTTTTCGGCTAACATTCAAGGGCCGAAGCAATTTGAATTGTAAACATTCCCCGAATTCTTAAAAATTGACCCGTTCCTCCATTTGAAATTGTATATCCATCATTAACTAGCTGCTACCGGGTTTTTGACCATTGTAGCCCTTATGTAATAATTATTTATCAAATTGACCTTGATTATAAACTATTTCAAAAATTTAACCTCTCCAGAAAACATAACACCAATCTGCCCATGTTTGACTGTTGACCACTAAGCCTACCCACCCCTCTCCCTACCCGGGTATATTTTGAAATTTTTTATCTACCCGGGTAGGAAGGGGGTACCCGGGTATATTTTTTGAATCTGAAAAAATGTTTGAATTATTTACCCGGGTAGGGAGGGGGGTACCCGGGTAAATAATCCAAATTGAAAAACAAGCAGAGATGGTGTCATGCCAACTGAAGAACAACAATTTCGAATTGAATTTTTGTTCTATAAGCTCCTATATATATTTCGGGTACATGAATTGCAACACGTATAAAAGCATGGTAACAGAGATTACTAACGTGAGCCGGTGGCTTCCCAGAGCTGCATCTTGTCATGCTCGTAGTATTCTGAGGTGCGAACGATAACAAGAATAAGGTGATCCCCTTCTTTGACAACATTATCCACCGTCCATTTTAGTGCTTTTATGTTGCATGGTGAGAAATCCACAGCCACGCCCAATCTCCTATTTACGTTACCAGCCATTTCTCTCTACAGCAACGATTAAACTATCTTATTCTTGAGACCTCTTTTTTGTTAAGTTGCTCTGTATAATAGGTCAGGTTTTGGTTTTGTTTTATTTTTAATGTTAACATTTCACGTGACATTGAGCTTTGATGACCGAAGACTGCAACTTCTGAGGCAGGCACTGAAGACAACGACAATTACGTACCCGGGTATATTTCTCTACCTACAAATGTTTTAAGAGTGTAAATTTTCAATCTGGATTTTATATATAAAGAAAAGCAGAAAAGTAATTATAACTTATGTTTTTGAGTTTTGTGGACACAAACCTCAGCTTTGAGTTTGGCATTTTCAATTTGGAGTTGTTGTTCTTCAGTTGGCATGGCACCATCTTTGCTTATTTTTCAATCTGGATTATTTACCCGGGTACCCCACTCTCTACCCAGGTAAATAATTCAAACATTTTTCCAGATTCAAGAAATATACCCGGGTACCCCACTTCCTACCCGGGTAGATAAACAATTTCAAAATATACCCGGGTAGGGAGGGGGTACCCGGGTAGGCTTGGTGGTCAACGGTCAAACAGGGACAGATTGATGTTATGTTTTTTTTAAGAGTTAATTTTTTGAAATAGTTTCTAATCGAGGTCAATTTAGTAATTAATTATTACATAAGGGCTACAATGGTAAAAAAGCCAGCTGCTACCCCATGATTATTGCTTGCTTTAATTGCCTGATCAACATTGTTCGTGTTCACCACCACAGACCCTTGGTTTATGGCTGCCGGAGTTAATTCCTCAGGAGAATAGAAGTCAATACCACACATGCAGCAAATAATGGCTTGTTTAAAAAGAATCAATTACTACAGTAACATGTTATTGGGATAACTTCGTGCCTCTAAAATTCAATTCTGATGTTAGTAGAATTGACAAAAAGTGAAATTTTTGTTATAATATTAATTAACTAACATCAAAGGATTTACAAGCACATTTTCAGTGCTACCAAAATATTTATTTTCTTATCAAAAAACAGAAAAAATAAAATATGCATAAAAACAATCATAAAGATAACCATAAAGGTATGAAAGTATAAATATATATTTTTAATATTTAATAAATATTGTATCCAGCGCTTCGTATTTCCGATGCAAATATTTTATTCTTTGATCACACGAAAAAGTGAGTCCATGCAAAAAGCACCTTGCCAATTAAAAATTACTAATAAATTAATAAGAAAATTATCTTTCCTGTTATAATAAATAAAATTATTTCCTATAATTTTAAAATAATATTATTTTGATATTTAGAATGAAAAATTAAGTAGATTTTAATTTTTTTTTATTATAACATATTTTATTAAATACCCTTTATTTTTTATTCTAAATCCTAAAATAATATTATTTTGTGCTGCAAAAATAACTTTATCTCATGTAAAAAATTTAATCCCTTATTTAATTCGTGAGAAATTTTATTTCGAGTTAGAATTTATGTTGATGTCTTTCTTTATATAAAAATTTTGGAAACGGATCCTGAGTTACGTGTAATTTATTTTTATTTTTATTTTTTAGTATAATTTAGAGGTATCTCCATTCAACCTTCTCCAGTCACCTTGTCCTCGGGATACGGCCCTTTGGGCTAGCTCCTCATTAGAACAGCGGGTGCATTGAGCTTCGCTACCTGGAGGAAGGGAAGGATGAGACTAATCCCTCATCTGAGGAGAGAGGCACTTCCTCTGGCCCCCAAAGATTTTCCAAGAATTTGTCTTAGTTGCCAACTGAGCTACCCTTGGAGGTTCAGTTACGTTTAATTTAACATGATCATGTCACGTGAGAATCTTAATCATTAATAATTAAATTAACAGTAATGACTGTGTAATTTTCTATCTTTATATTTTTTCTCCCTTCTCCCTTATCATTGTTAACTCAGCACATGATATGGTTATATTAATTAGCACACGAGTTTCCACTCCAAAAAATTTTAATAGAATCTGGGTGGTCTCTAAAATTGACACCATGAAATTTTATCCATTCCTTTATATCACAAATAAAGAAAGAAAAGCGCCACAATCAATGGCTTAAAAACTCCGTAGCCATAGTGTTTGTATGTGGCACACTGCGAGCGACCAAATCACACAAAAGATGGGGTTTGTAGCGGGTTGCTCTTGCTTGCTGCACTCTCCCCTATATCAATTCCCTTTTCCTTCTTCCTCTTCTTCTCGGCACAGAAACGCACACTTGAGCACTACTAAGTTGCGAACTCCCACATCGTCATGCTTGCGCCAGCATGACCCAATCTGCAAAAAGAGAACATTTTTCTTAATGGGTATCGCTCTTCTTCCATTTCTCCCATTGAAGACTGCCCCAGCTCTTGAAGGATCCCCTGCAACCGCTAGTGAGTTCTCTTCTTCAATTCACCTCTTCTACGGTGATTTATAATGTGATTGCTATTCGAACCCGTCATGTGTAGTGACAATTTTTTATTTTATTTTTTGAAAATAAATTTTTAAAACCTTAAGGTTCGGGTACATGAGGATATATATTATATGAAAGTACGAAATGTAAATAAATGTCATTAATCAGAATATATATACAAACTTTATATACTATTCTAACTCCAATTTTTCAATGAAACTTCGTGAAGTACATCAAACAAATTATATATTGAAAAGAAAAATAGGACTCATAATTTGGACGGGTGATGCAGCAATCAATAACTAACCAAACAAAATAGGACTTTTATTTATTAATTTTTATAACAATTTGGTAAAGCATTATAGTCTTCTTTTTCGTAGTAACTTGTGTGTAACTACTCATTTTCTTTCAGAAGAAAGTGAGGTGAAGACCCCAGAGGATAACCAAAAAGAAGAGGTTTGTTTGCTGTTAAGTTCAGATACCAATGTTGAATAGTAAGTTTTGGTTATTGTATTTGCTCTTTGGATGTTCAACTTGTTCTAAACTATGTAGCTTCTGTGGACAGACAGCATCCGAAATGGAGAAACCGTCCTTTGTGTCTCTCCTGAATGGAATAGGAATAATTTCTTCTGGTGTGTTGGGGGCTCTCTATGCACTGGCTCAGAAAGAAAAGTTGACTGCTGTTGCAACCATAGAAACAGTAAGCTTATATGCACTCTTATGATTCTTGGAAACTGGTAAGATATGTGTTGGCCTTTGAGGAATGAGGGAGTACTCTTCTCTTTCTCTTTTTACTACAAGAACCACAATGATTGGTCTCTTTCCATCTAATTTGATATTAAATGGTTGATTTTGTTTTTTCTTAATAAAAAAAAATCATTTTTAGAGTATTTATTTATTAGGATTTAAGCCATATATTTTACTGGTCAATGTGTGCAGATGAGTGGCAAACTGAAGGAAAAGGAAGAGGTGATTGTTTCCTTGAAGCAGAACTATGAATTGAAGTTACTGAATGAGCAGGATGAACGAGCCAAACTACTTGGAAAGGCAAAGGAAGAGCAGCAAGCATTGATAAACCAACTAAATTCTGCAAACAGTACTATCACCCGCTTGGGACAGGAGCTAAAAAGCGAGAAAAGTTTGATTGTGGAGCTGAAACTTCAAATTGACGGAATTGAAACTAAGCTTTCAAAGACTTATACAGAAATGAAGGATCTTGAAAACAATTTGAAAGAAAAAATAGATTCTATTGAAATTTTAGAGAAAAGAATTAGTCTGCTGAGTTTGGACCTCAAGGACAAAGAAGATATTGTTCGGAATCTTAATTCATCCCTTGCAGAAAAGGAATTGGAATTGAAGAATTTGAATTCTACCTATGAGCAAACCAAGGATGACTTATCTAATGTCCATTTGCAGATTCAAGGGTTGAAGGATGAACTACTGAAAACCCAAGAGGAACTAGAAGCAAAAGATTCCTTGGTGATGGAACTAAATTCAAGAGTAAGTTCCTTAACTCTTGAGAACGATGATTTTAGGAGTAAATATGATGCCTTGGAGAAGGAATACAATGACCTAAAGTTCACTGCTGAAAAGAAGGCTGCTTTGGATGCTAAGGTTTTGAGAGAAAAAGAAGAGGAGTTTCATCGGCTAAAGGATCAGTTTGAACTTGTACTAGATGAAGCAAACAAAAACAAGGCCATCACTGCTAATTTAGCCCAAGAAAGAGAAGGGTTAAAGGAGTCTCTAGAGAATGAATCTAAGAAAGTGAATCATTTGAAGTATGAACTCCAAGTCAGTCAAGAGAATCTTGGAAAATCAAGAAATGAGTCTGCTGAATTGGAAAACCGTCTGAATGAGTCAAACGAATTACGCAAAGAGCTTGAGGTTGAGGTCTCTAAGCTTTCATCTGAGCTCACTGAAGTTAAAGAGTCACTACAGAGTAGCCTCGATGATGCAAAACTTGGGGCAGAAATGCTATCTAGTGAGCTTATGACAGCAAAGGAGCATTTGAAGAAAGCACAGGAAGAGCTGCAGAGCATGTCCCATGAACTGACAGTTGCTCTTGAAAACCGTGATAACCTACAAAGAGAATTAGTTGACATCTACAAAAAGGCTGAAACCACAGCTCAGGATTTGAAGGAAGAAAAACAGTTAGTTGCTTCTTTGAACAAAGATCTACAGGATTTGGAGAAGCAAGTCTCAAATGACAGGGAGGCCCGAAGATCTCTTGAAATGGACCTGGAGGAGGCTACCAAATCACTAGACGAAATGAACCGAAATGCATTGATCCTTTCTGGTGAACTAGAGAAGGCCAATTCTTTTATTTCTAGCCTTGAAAATGATAAAGAGATGCTTTACAAGTCCCTTACAGAACAAAGACATGCAAACAAAGAGGCCCAGGAAAATATTGAAGATACTCATAACCTCATCATGAGACTTGGCAAAGAGAGAGAGAATTTAGAGAACAGGGGGAAGAAATTGGAGGAGGAATTGGCTTCTGCCAAGGGTGAGATATTGCGCATGAGGAGTAAGATCAATTCTTCCAAAGTTGCTGATAACAATGAGCAAGTGCAGAAAAAGATCAGTTCTTCGAAAGCTGCTGATAATAATGAGCAAGTGCAGAAAGATGAAGGTGAATCCAGGGTTACTGTAAATGCACGGAAGAATATCCGAAGAAGAAAGGCGAACCCCGAGTAACATAGAGAAACTGGAGAGCTTTCTGGTAAGAAAAAAAATTCCAATTCAGAGAATGATATTTTGTAATAAATTATTTGGAAGGTAGTTGATGTTGCACTTTATTCATCTTGGCATGCAAACATTTCCATGGTGCGATAGTATTTGTACAAACGAAATAACACAGTAGGAATTGTTGAGTTGAGCTTTTAGATAGTTTTCATAAATAACCCTAAAAAAAGTGAGAATACTAAGTACAGTTTGCAACATTGAACTCTGTTTGGGTTATACACAGCTAGTGTTCATTGTCTATCAAGCAAATCAACATACTTCCGTTGCCCTTTTTTCTGATATTGTGTATCATTGGTTGACTCTCTCTGCCACCTCCAACCTCCTCTTGTGTTTATTTGCATTTATCAGATATCTTTTAACTATTTAGTGTAATATGTTAAAAGATCATTGATTGCAGCATGAGGTGGAGTTGTAGCCCTGTTATTCAAGCTTTAGACTATCTGGCAAACTAGATATTTTTTATGCTTTATCACTTACAAGTAAGTGATGAACCATTGTATGTTCTCGTAGGTAATATAAACCCAAAGCATTATATTTTTACTCAAAAAAAGACAAATTAAAAATAATTTGTTATATAATTTTTATGGAAATTCTTCACAGTAACCGATGTTAAAATCCTACCAGTAGCATTTTTAATGTTAATTGACATGGATACCAATGAAAAATGTTCTTATCATGCATTTACTACTAAGAAGCTTGAGAAATGAGTACTTTTCTTTTGAATATTTGACTGGCATGTTTCTGTTAGTGAATGCTCCTATACAAGTAGTTCTGTTTCAGAGATGACATCTAACTTGGATCGTCAAAACATATTCAAGATTCCAATGCTATCTTCTCACTTGCTCTTGATGAGGATGATGTAAACAGCATTAAAGAAGCCTCAGGGCAAGTAAAAGATCTGCATAAAGTGATTGGTGAATGGTGATGATGGAGATGAATACACGCCCACGAGTCATGCTGGCATATCAAAAAGGTCAAAGATTTCATTTAAATAAGACAATGGGGACAAGAAGAAATTATTCATTTCACCACCGTAGAAGAATTTGTATGTGGTGCTTGCATGGATCAAATTACTTCGTGATTGGTTTTGTAAAAGGAATCCGCTGAACGATGAAGCTTAATATGGCATTAGTGGCTTGCATTTCATATACACATAATTTACATCATGCAATGACAAATAGAATAAAAGAATTGCTGTTTACCAATAAAAAAAATGAAATATTGCTTACAGGAGTGTCAAACGAGAAGAAACATGTTTTGCTGATTTCCTTTGTGATAATAACAAAGTGAGAGCAAGATAAAGATTGCTCAAAATTTAATGACTGTCGTTAACACTTACCTCTGTGTTTATGATTAAAATACCCTTGCCCATCTACCATGTGTGAATCATCATAACTAAATTATGGACTGCATCAGGAAATTTTAAATGGAAGTTTCGTGGTCTCAATGTCAAATGCACAAATACGAACTTTATCTGGGTCACATGTGATTGTGAGCATCATGATAAATATAAATAATAGCATAGCATTAGAAGATAGGATAATTGAATAATTATTAAATACAAGATATTAATAAATATCAAAAGGTAACATTGTCAATGGCAAATCGAACATGATAAGTAACATCATATTCACGACGACCGACTAAGCAATCTAGAAAATCTTGTGGTTTTTGTTCTCGGCTAAGCAACAAGCAAGCTAGGATCAGATCACTTAACAAGTGAAGTTATATTCAACTTAAATAATCTGAACTAAAAATGGCATTACACCATTACAGAATTAAATACGATTCGGTACGGTCCCTTGATAATCGGGTGTTGGCACTGGGTCCATTGACCCATTCACAAAATGGGCCTTTGCTATTTGTCACATAACGTAGGTTTACTATTCACCCTCTTCAATATTGGGTTGAATAAACCCAATTCAAGCTTCTTCTTTTTTGCACTTAGAAACGTAAACAATATTAGTTACCATATTGTATTTATTTTTTATTTTTTTTAAGATAGCAATGGCTAATCCATTTTTGGACTTGGACTTCTCTACTCTTTTCAGGAATTGAGACTCTCAGCTTTTGAATCCATTGCTTCTTGGACAATTTGAATTTATGATTCTCCACTCTTTTCAGAAATTGTAACTATAATAAGAGACAAACCATTTCCATGCTCATTGGAAGTAGTGATCCCACCCCTCCTTGGATTTATTTTAAAAAAAAAAAAATTATATTATACTATTTTTTATAATTTTATTTTTAAAAACTAATTTACTTTATTTGATTCAAATAAAAAATAAATCGTTAAATTCAATTTTTAGCAAATTTCATGATGTCCGCTTTAGTCCCTAGCAAATAAAAAGGCTCATCGTGGTTTCTAAGAAATTCAAAATGGACTCATTTAATTGAAACCGTGGTCTCTCATAAATTCAAAAAAGACTCATATTAGTCTTTCAAAAGAATTAAAATGGATTCATTTTGAATTTCTTAGGAATCACGATGAGCCTTTTTATTTGCTAGAGACTAAAGCGGGTATCGTGAAATTTGCTGAGAACCAAAAAAGGTATTTTCTCTTTTTAAAATATCAAGCTCAATGAGGGGTAATAGTAGAAATAAGAAAAATGAACGGACATGATGAGCTGATGTAAACCCTAGTTATATATATATATATATAATCATCACTCTGCCTTGTTTTTTCGTTCTCTGCACAAACCCTAGCACCAAGATCTAAAACCCAACCCTTTTTCACTTCTGGCAAGTACGCGCCTCTCTCACTAGCAATTGCGTTTTCATTACCTTTCGATTCGTGCGTAAAACACAGTGTTCCTCTGTGATACGTGTTACTGATTCGTTTTCAGTTGATTTTTTCTAGGTAGAGATGAAGGTGATCGCAGCGTATTTGCTTGCCGTTTTGGGAGGCAACGCAGCTCCTTCAGCTGATGATCTGAAGAATATCCTTGGCTCAGGTGCGCCAACATTCATGTTTTTCTGATCCATTCTTTCAAACATGATAAGCATGTGCTTAATTTTCCAGTTATTTAAAATTCACTAGTGCTTTCGCTTTTCGTATTTTCTCGAGTGTCTTACTAGGTTAGATTTCTGCAAATGGATCTATAGTCAATTGCAATCGGACCTTTTATACAATGTGGGAAGCAAAGTATTTTAGAGCAAAATATTTGTGTGAGACTTGTAAATTTAATAATTAGAGGAATCGAATTTGCGGATTTATAATATGGGGATTGGTTGTAGCTTATCAATTTTCACTCTGATTTGTCCATTACAATAATTGGATTGGGGATTGGTTGCAGTTTTAACTGTTAACCCATAAATCATGGATAGGTGTGGTAGTTTTTTTTTTTAATGTTTCTTCTTATATCTTTGTTTTCTATTGTTTACCTATTTGCTTTTTTGTGCCATTATAGGAGGAAATTTAGTATTTATAATAAAAGGTTGAATGATTTTTTTGCTGCTGAACGAGGGGGAACTCTAATCCCAAGGGGGTGAAACATTGAATTTTGAATTGTGTTTAAATTTTACAGTTGGAGCTGAGGCTGATGACAGTAATATTGAGTTGCTCTTAACTGAAACTAAGGGCAAGGATATTGCTGAGCTGATTGCTAGTGGAAGAGAGAAGTTGGCTTCAGTGCCTTCTGGTGGTGGTGCTGTAGCTGTTGCTGCTGCACCTGCAGGTGCCGCTGCAACTGGAGGTGCAGCACCTGCTGCTGAGGCAAAGGAGGAAAAGAAGGTTGAAGAGAAGGAAGAGTCGGATGACGTAAGTATTAAAGTTGTAGCTTAATTGATTTATAAAATAATTTAATAACTCTTTGCTAATGATCATATATCCTCCATGTTTATACAGGACATGGGTTTCAGTTTATTCGACTAAAAGGGTTGAAGCTATTCGTCGGAAGCATTTGCTGAGTTTTGGTTAGAGTTTTAGTTGAATCACACATGTCTTTGTTATTGCGGTTCCATACTTTATTAGGTTTTATGGGTTTTGCCTTTTCAATTGAGACAATGTAATGACATCATCAAATTGTCTGATAGAATTATTGATATGATGAATTTGATCTGCTTGACTTATTGGTGAATTAATTTCATTTTTCCATTTTCATCAGTATACAAGATTGGTAGGAATGGTCATTAATAATCCATTGTCGTTTATTTTCTTGATTCACAAGGTTGTGCCAAGAACATAACAAACAACTTTGCTAGTTGTCCATGTTCAGAGTGGTAGTAAGAGGATTTCTTGTTTCCTTTCTCCTTTTTCCTTTCATTGCTTAGTGAAGGAAATATGATCTTTTAATTTTTTATGGGGAAGGATATTGTGACAACCAAGTTGTGTTACTACCAAGTGACTACTAATCAAACTGACCGTTAGATCGATTATATTGATCCAACGGTTATATTTATTTCCATCTTTGTATGGTCATGATTTCTTAAATTTAATACTTTATATTTATTTTCACCTTTCTATGGTTATGATTTCCCATATTTAATGTTTTCATTTTAAATATGGGGAATCATGACCATACAAAGATGGAAATAAATATAGCCGTTGGATCAACATAATCGATCTAACGGTGAGATTGATTGGTAGTCACTTGGTAGTAACACAACTTGGTTGTCACAATATCCTTTTCCTTTTTTTATTAGAGGTATTTATATTTCTAGCATATGATGATAATACGGTGGCTGCATTTTATGCTCTATAGTTAAAAGATTTGTCTCTGCGATTAAAGTGGGTTGGCAGCTATGTTTTGAATCGATCCATTGATGTGATAAATAGGAGATGAGTGACAGAGACCTTTGTTTGCTCCATTTCTTGTGTTGGTCCGGTTAATTAAGTTTGAATTTTGGCCTACAATGTCCTTCGAGTAGTTTCCGCGGCACAAGAAGCTCAAGTGCAGAAAAGCATTGATGAAGTCTGCTTGGTTCATTGAAATATTTTTTACGTTAATCAAATAACTTCAACCTTTATTCTTTTTTTCCCCCCAAATTTATGGTATTCGTATTATAAGTCATTTCCCAATTTATGGATGGATTGGAATTGTTGGTTCATATATGTTGTCTGCTCCCAGGATTGTCCTCTTCAATTTTTGAACTTTTAATATCACACACCCAATTAATGTCTTTAATCTCGTGGTTGCTATAGCATGTTTAACCCCCTCCCCTTTTCTCTCTCTTCCCTTTTAGTTGTCAACACTTAACAAGCTCCATCATCATATAACCTATTTTATAAATATAATGTGGAGAGGATGATGGAAAATCAACCGGGAAAAGAAAATAATAAATTTCACGGGGCTATTATATTTAGCTGTACTGATAAGTGAGGGCAGAAAGCTTTCTATCATTAATAATATTCAAAAGGAGTCTCTGGACGACTTCCAGGATGATCATATACAGCTTCTTTACTGAGAGGTGGGGGCACAAAGGGGGGAGTTGTACACCTTAGCAATGCCCAATTCACACCTTGAAAAAATGGGTGGTGCTTGATTGCGGAAGCCCCCACCATTGACCCGAGTCTTCTTGCCGGATCCTTAACTAATAACTGCTGTATAAGGTCTTTCATGGCAGCAGGCGCGGTGGGTTCCTTGGGGAACTCAAGGGCTCGAGCCACAATGTTAGCTAGGGTTAGCTCATGGTCCATGCCCCTGAAGGGTGTTATCCCATAAAACAGTTCAAATATAAATACCCCTAAAGTCCACCAGTCCACGGCACTACCATGGCCCTCCCCGGAGACGATTTCTGGCGCCAAGTACTCGTGGGTTCCTACGAATGACATGGACCGGACATCAATGGGCTCGGCCACAAACTCAGGCCCGCTACGCAGGCTCTGCTTATTCTTTCGCTTGCGTTTTGGGTGGAAACACGACATGGCGGGGACTATACAGTTAGGTAACATGCAAGAAGAGGGGATAACATGAGAGGGTTCAACGTGAGAATCGTAATGTGGGACAGTGAGAGGAGGGCTTTGATCAGAGATGATCTGAGCCGTTGATTTGGACTTGTTACATTTCAACGAGAGGTCAAAGTCAGTGAGCATGATGTGGCCGTCAGATCGAACCAACACGTTTTCTGGCTTGAGATCACGGTAGACTACCCCCAACATGTGTAGGTATTCAAGTGCCACCAAGACCTCTGATGCGTAGAACCTGTAAACACCACGAGTAAGAATGAAACTAACATTGACTAATCATGTAAATATAAAAGCATTACAGGTTTTTTTTAAAAAAAAAAAAAAAAAAAAAATCATCTGTATCTAACGAATGCTAACTAATCCGAATTCGAGTGGGTAGATGACAAAAAATTTCCTACCAAATTTTTAACTTAAGAGACAGTTTATTAAGAGAGTAAGTTATGTTCTTTTAATCAATTAAGAAAACTAAAATCAAAAGGGGATAAGATTTTCTTTCTTTCTTTTTTGAAGCACAAAAATAGATTAAGTTAAAGTTGGCCCGAGGTGGCATATATATGTTTGGATTGGTCGAAAACATGGTCTACAATTGCGAGAAAAATGCAATAATGCTTTTCGTCTTAGTTAAAAGACGATTATCGGCCAACATGACACAATAGATATATAAGTTGCTAGGCCTACGGAATGGGGTCATTGGACTAAACAGGGACATGAATTGTTTTGCTATAGTTTCAGGGTAACGTGGGCTAGTACACTGATATTTAGACAAATACCAAGCATTTTAATAAAACATCTTGTCTTTTGAATGTTAATTATAATTTGTTGATGCGCAAGAATATTTGTTAAAATGTTTGTCTCAGAGACTAATCCTTTTGCTAGACAATATATGCTTTTGCTTTTGAATTTGCCATATGTTGCACAATATCTTTGAGACAATATCTATAATTTTCAAGCAAGATAATGAAGAAGAAAATAAGAAAATGTCAAGTGATGACACTGCCACTGCCACATGCATGTCAAAAGTAAATTTAAAAAGACATATATTTCATGTGAGACGTGCAAATAATGACAAGAAAACAAAAGCAGTTAGTAAAGTAACTCTTCATGCAAAGATAGCAAGCACTTTCTTGTGAAACATAGAAGAAAGAAAAACATAGTTAGTTGAACATGAATCTGAGAGATTCAGCTTTTGCTTTCATTGGTCTGTCTGTGGTCTTTTTTTATTACGTAAAAGCATGCTCAACTAAAGAGAAACAAAAAAAAAAGGAGGGAAGATGGGAGAAAATGAAAAATAGGAATTTGTCTATTTGACGTCCATAGGAATCTCTTGAACGGTCACCCAACAGACAAGCTATGAACATCAATTTTCTTTATCTGGTCATAAAGCAAGAAGTCAAGAACATTGGAAGGAACATGCAAAAGCAAATTACATTACATAAGAGAAGGATTAATTTCTTTAAATAAAAAAATAAAAAACCAATTGCAGGCTTCGAACTCTAGAAACATAATTGGGGATAACATATCCCCATAAATGAGGGAACCTAAACCTGCCAATAAGGGACCACTGCAAGATTTGCCTCACATTTATTTTATTTTAAGTTAAGAAAATAAAAATAAAAATCCAGAAATCCCGCAAAAAATTATGGTATCAGATTTTAAATAAATAAATAAATAAATATATATATATATATATATATATATATATATATATATATATAGAAACAACATCATTTAATATTGATGTCAAATTTATCTTAACTATTGAGCCAAACTTATTTTAACCATTAATTTTTATCAATAGGACGATTATAATTTATTAAAAATTAATAATTAATTAATAAATATGACTCAATAAATTATAATCGTTAAATTCACGGAAATCAACCATTAATATTTTGTATCAAACTTTTTAATTTCACATTGATATTAAAGTAACCGATATATAGATTACCAAAAAAAAAGTAACCAATATATATATATATATATGGTCCCTCTTTTCCCGTTGTAGGAAAATACTTTCTCCTACTATAAACACAAGATATGATGGATCCCACCTCCTATTAAAGAATAAAATAAAAAATGTTATTGCACACATTTCCATGTATCACTAGTAGGAGAAAGAAATCTCCTATAACATAAAAATTATTTTCATATATATATAGTGGCGGAACTAGCAATTTTTTTTATGGGTGCACGCTTTTGGCAGGGGCTGCCCTCGAAGATTTTTTTTTAAAAAAAAATTTAAATGTATTAAAAAAATATAAACAAGAAAAGAAAAAAAAACTTTAACTTAACATAAAAAAAATAATAATCAAGAGTCAACTAAGCTGTTACAATAGAACGATCACAGAAGCATTCTTCGATTCTTCATTCCTTAAAAGTATGGCATCTTATCTTCATCATCAATCTTCAACTAAGTTTATATTGCATTATGCACGCGGCAGTTCAAGAAAGACAGTGATGACGTGTGTTTATTTTTCACCCACCCATTTGATTTAAAAAAAAAAAAAAATGTCCGTCCGCCACTATATATATATATATATTTATTTATTTATATATATATATAATTGGATATATCCACCGTCAATTACCCCACTAATTTAGTTCAAACATTGTTGGACCTATCATATGACACCACTCCAAATTTCCAATACCATTTTTTCCACTCAAATTCTGGTTAAGGAAAACAAATTCTTACTACTTAAACCAAGGATTATTGGCAGTTTCAAATATTTTATCTCCGTCGAATCTCTGTAGTCCACAGAAAGAGAATAAGAAGATTCATTATGTGGGATCTTCTCTCACAAACTTGTAAAATTGAAAAAACAAAAAAACACCCAATTATTATTTACAATTTACGAACACACTAAACTACCACTGTTAGTTGTCGTTTTGGCTTTGACAGTAATTTTACGTAAAATGTTTACTTAAAAGACAAAACGACGTAATCATTTCATTTCAATTTTTTTATATTTATATAAGCGAAGCGAATAGAAAATGCAAGTGCCTAACTAACTAAGTAACGGCGTGTGCACCTGACGGCGGATTCGTGGAAGCGTTTGTTGGGGCGGCGTTGGCGGAGCACGTGCAAGTCACCGCCGGGGCAGAACGGCGTCAAGAGGCAGAGCCATTTGGGCGAGTCAATGCACGCGTAGAGAGTGGGCAAGAAAGGGTGGTCCAACATTTCCAGAATTTCCCTCTCTGTCCTCGCCCTCCCTTCCTTGCTCCGGCTCGCCAGCTCCTCTTTGTTCATCACCTTAGCGGCGAACAACGCGGCGGAGCCCTCGGTGGGTTGCTTCGGCTCCGCTAGGTAGACGGAGCTTATGTCGCCGGAGCCGAGGCGACGGGTGAGTCGAAAGTCCGAAGGGGAGATGGTACGGGTCGGGGATTCGGATCGGATCCGGTGGATGAAGGTCCAGCAAGGGTCGGAAGAGGGCGCGTGGGGTTTGGTGGTGGTGGATGGGAGTGGTGGATGGAAGTGAGCTGAAGTGGATGGTGTTACGGTGGTGGTTTCGGAGCTGAAGCTAGTGCTGCGTTTGATATCTACGGTGGTAGTGGTGGAAGCGAAGCTTAGGCTATGGAGGTCGTCGGCTAGATCCTCCACGCATGGTTCCATTTTTGTTGTTGGGAATAAAGACGACAAAGAAGAAGAGAGAGCACTGAACTATCAAGTAACGAGTGGAGGGACTATATATTATTGTTATTTATTTACTTTTTTTTGAAAATACAAAAAAATTTAACTGAAGTTAGATACGATATCTCATCGGGGTAGGAAAAAACTCTTCCATCTCTTCGAGAATTTTTAAGAAAGAATATATATTATCCATCAACAAAGTCTCACGTTAAGAATCAAGTTTGAATTCACACTTTTGTGAAGAGGTATGGATCAAATCGTTACTCAATTTTAATTCTTTTCTTTTCTTAAAACTTAGCAATATTAACTCTAATAAAAAATAAAATAAAATTTATACGAAGGTATTTCTAATAAAATCTATTTTACAAATTAAATATGAAGTTTTTGTTATCAAAAAAAAAAAAAATATGAAGTTTTCTCGAAATTAATGATGAACGGTTTGGTGAGGAGTTTAAAATTATCAATGTAACTATGCTCTTAAATGCAGTGGAATTCAAGATGTTCAGGCTAAAGATGAATGCAACCATTAATAAAATAATAAATGCAAAATGCTTATTCAATGGCTAAAGATGAAGAATTTATAAATGAGAAATATTCTCTAATAATAAAATGGGAAATATAAGTATTATGATGTAAGAATGAGTTTTTGATTCTGTAATCATTTTTTAATTATGTACTTTCGGAAGTACATAATTAGAATATTAAAGTTGCTCATGTGGAGGAGTGAAAAAAAATTTATTTATTTTTTTTGGTACATTGTCAGGAGGTATCCTCATTCAACCTTCTCCGGGCACCATGCCTTCGGGGTACGGCCCGTTTGGGCTAGCCCCTCATTGTAAGAGTGGGTGCACTAAGCTTCGCAACCGGAGAAAGGACGAGACTAATCCCCAAACCGAAGATTTTTGGCTTATCCTCTGGCCTCCAAAGATTTTTCAAGAAACTGCTTGAGGCAGGGTTTCAAGAGGGGTGTATTGGAATAGGATTTTAAAAGACTTTTTTCGAGATAAAAAAATCTTATAGATTTTAAAAGACTATTTAAAATTAGAGGAATTTTAAAGACTTTTTTTACAATCAAGATTTCATAAGATTAGATTTTAAAGTATTTTAATAGAATTTATAAGATTTGAAAGGACAATACGGATTTATAAGATTTTAAAAAATTATATGAATTTTTAACAAACATTCAAAATTACAAGAGTTAATAAAAATAATAATAAGGAAATGCAATAATATAAATAAATAAAAAGTAAAATATAATATAATTTTTAACAAACATTCAAAATTACTAAGCAATAACTCTCCACATATCTAAAGCTATACTAATCCTCCACGCATTAGCATTTTCTCGTTCCTGCTCTTGGGTTTGACCAATGGGTTGAAAATTATCTTCTTCATTTAGTATCAGAGCTATGCATATATGATTATAAGATCTATTTTTTTTAATTATTAAACTAACTCTAAATTTGCATATAAAACCTAAAGTTCATGATAAAAATTCTTTTGGAATGTTTTGCAATTGATTTTGGAAATCTTGGAGCTTTTGTCATACGTGATGAGAGTTTTCTAACCATATATTATATGCATGTTTTCATTGAGTATTCTAAAAAAAATTCGAATCTAAATTTCTGGGTTTTATTACATACAAGTTTAGAAAATTTCTCAAATTATTTTCAATCGATTTCAATCTTAAATTGTTATGGGGCTTTTTGAAAAATAAGTTTTTAGTTATCTATTGACACAAAAATTGTTTAAAATCGTTTCCTATAACGAAGGAATTTCATTCATGAATATATTGTTACGAAATATAAGATTCATATTATGAAAGTTTTAATCTTTTTTTAAATTGATATTGTTTCATTGATGTAAAACAAAAATTAGTTTGAGGGTTTTAGTTCCCATGTTGTTTTCCCATTGTTTTATGTTATTTTTAATACAAAAATCACACCTTTTTGTGCAAAGAAAAACCACGACCCATAGTTTGAAAAATTATTTTTTAAACTTCCAAAATCTCTAAAAAATGACTAAAAATATGCTATTTTTGAGATAAATTATATTAAAATCTAATTGGTTTGTGTTTTCTGGGTTGCTTTGTGGTAAGAATCGCTCAAAAATCTGCTGTTTCATGAAGCTCCCATGATGGAACCCGATTTCGAGCGGATTAACCCGTCAATTGAAGAAGACACTACAATAGAGAAATCTCGATAAATCCTAAGGGTTAGGATGTGTTTGGTACAAGGGTATCAAAAAGATTACTGGTAAACCTTCTTTGGTAACCTCAATTACCATGTTTGGTTGAAGTAATAAAAATCAGTTCTCGGATATCCAAGGTTTACCGGTAATTTGATTTACAAAGAAAAGTCACTATTTTGATTACCAAAAATAATATGGTAATTCAGAATTCTAAGTAAAGGGAAAGCACAACAACAATTTTTGAGACAAAAATACCCCAACACAAATCAAAACCTAGACCCAATCTATTAATATTTTGGCGAACCAAACACTTTTTTCGTAATATTCCGAGTAAACTCAATTTCTAGTGTATTTCCAGTAATCGTGATTTTCGGATACCAAAAAATTTCTCTTGTACCAAACACACCCTTAAGGGTTATGGTGAGATTGTGAGAGAGACATCCTATTTATATTTCTCACTAAAAGTCTCACGAAATAGAAAATCCATTAAAATCGATAGATTTTTGAATACCATAAGATTGTTTTTCTAAGTTTAAAATCTTGATTGAATATCAATGGATTTGGACGGACTCTAAAATAATCTTTTAAAATTATAATCGAATACCATGTGACTTTTTTTTCAATCCTTTAAAATCTTAATTGAATACCAATAGATTTTTGTGTCCAAAAATAATCCATTAAAATTCTTTGATATCACATTCCAATACTCCCTTAATATTTTAACCATGTACTCCATGAATATATAGTTAAAAATCGTTGCAAGATGTCCTATTATCCTATAACAAGACATCCCACACACCTTAATAAAATAAACATAATTGTTTTGCCTAATAAACCACACTGCTATTAAGCGTAGGTCTAAGATGTATATTGAGTTGAGCTTATGCAGAATGCAGGAATCCTATTGTTAGTACAAGGGTAGAGGATAAACTTTTTTTTGTTCTTGGGAACGATGGGAAAGTAAATTTTTCTGAAATATTATAAAAAAAAATATTTTGTGGGTTAAAAATATTATCAAAAATATTAACTTGAAGCTCCTGATTCTATATTTAGTTGATGGGTAAAGAATTTCTTCGGTCAATGGAGATAAGTTATATTCGGTGAGTCTAAAATGATGCTGTTTTGAGGCGAAAATCAAAGTATTTTTGGAATTATAATATATTGCAGGGTTAAATTAGTCTTTAGCATTATAATTTTTTAATCTTATAACTCAAAACAACGTCGTTTTGAGCTCATTACAGATAACTTTATCTCCGATAAATAGAAAAAATACTTTTCCCTGGTTAATTATCCATTATTGCTCAGAGTATGTACCAATTTTACAAACAAACTTTTACTTTCCAAAAACCATCCCCGTGAACTTTTGGGTTGTAACTTGAAGCTAAAGTGTGAAAAACTTTAAAAAGAAAGAAAAGAGTAAATATCTTTTTTGGTCCTAAGCTAATTTTACGATATCCGCTTTAGTCCCTAACAAATAAAAATGCCCAGCGTAGTTCCTAAGAAATTCAAAATAGATCCATTTAGTTAAAATTGTAGTCCCTCACAAATTCAAAAAAGATCTATACGAGTCCCTAAAAGAACTAAAATGGGTCAATTTTCAATTTTTTAGGGACCTTTTTTATTTGCTAATGACTAAAACGGACATCGTGAAATTTGCTAGGACCAAAAACGATATTTACTAAAAAAAAAAAAAGTTAAATTTTTATTTTAAATGAATTAAATTTGCTAAAAAAAAATGTAAGAAAATGTGTCTTTTATTGGTCTCTCTTCTTCTTTTTCCTTTTCTTTTAGTACAATATTGGTCTCTATTCTTGTTGAGTTGTTCCTGTGAACAAAAAAAAAATCACACAGAGCATTTCTAAGTTCCTGAATCACTTGATCTTCTTCCTTTGCCAAAATCGAACTCCACCATCACTACGTCGTCGTTTTCACTTTGTTGAAGTTTTTGTGCACCGTAGCTGAAAATTTTGCATTTCTGAGGGAATTTTCCCGTTTCTCTCTGGTGATTGTTTTGGGAATGGGAAGCGGAAAGGGAGAAGAGAGGAATGAGAAAATCATCAGAGGTCTCATGAAGCTTTCGCCGAATCGAAGATGCATCAACTGCAATTGTCTGGTAAAAATTTTGAGGATATTTTTGTCCCAAAAAATTTCGAAAATATTTCTACGAATGGAAATTTAAAAAAATACCATACACCCAATAATATTTTAACTTGGGAATCTGCTTCATAAAATAAAATTTCATGAATCTGGTTTTTTCAAAAAAAAATTCACAATTCTTATATCAAATATTTTTTTTTTTTTTTTGATAACATTATATCAAATATTTTAAATTAGATTCTCAAAATCAATTTAAATCTAAAATTTATCTCTCTCCTTAAGGAAAACATGTAAGTAACCCAGGGTCCAGGCCATTAATGGCCAGCTCATGTAACAGTACCAGGTTAAAAACAAATGAACTAAGAATAAAAATAAAAAATAACGTGAGAAAAAAAGAATAAAAAATATAAAGGTGAAAGGAATTAGAAATTTATTTTACCATTGTTACATAAATCCAACAAATAGCAAACCAGTGAAAAAATAATAAATAAAAATGTAAATGCTCCCATCAAATCCGTTTGTGCGAAAATGTCTTTGATGCATCAAATGTATCGAATTAAATATATTTTTTTTCTATATTTGAAAAAAAATTCATCACTTTTGAAAAAAAAAAATTCGCTGCATTGAAAATTTTTCTCCTTTTGAAAAAAAATATATACACAGTTAATATTTTTGATGCACTAAAATTTTGTTCTCTTGACGCAAAATTCATGAATTGGGATTTCATGACATTTAGAATTATTGTTTGCGTTAAACATCAATTTATGTAATAAAAACCCAAAAGCTATTCCAGCCACAGTGTCCCATGTGTAATAATAGCTTAGAGTAAGACTCCGTGCTTGTTGAATGAACTTCAAATTTTTAGTAAGGTTAAGCAGATACGCAATACCATAATACAAGACCCGGAAACAGCTTTTGGGTGACCAAAAGGCCAAGGTATATACATAATTCAGAGCGTTTCAATTCCATATTTAAGAGGTGGAACTCTATTCTCATAACGTGGAAGACCACATAACCTCAAATTGCACAAAGAAAATATCAAACTACATTCTTTAATTTGAATTTTCAGCTACAAAGACATAACCACCTTTTATGAGCAGACAGGAACTTATTTAAAAATTATTCGTTAGCTAAATAAGACCTGACTTGATAGTGAGAGAAAAAAAAGGAATGTACGGAATAAATGACAGAACTGATATGATATTATGAAAATGCGAAAGGATTAAAATTTAAATATGTTATTTTTTTTATAAATTATGCTAAATATGATTGATTATATATTTTTGATTGAAATATAACATATTATATTTAATATAAGTTATAAGAGTTTGTAAATAAAAAAATTATAAATATAACTTTTTTCTAAAAAAAAAATATCGACTTGAAAAGTGAACCCTTTCCATCTCGCGTACAAGATGAAGTAGCAATATAACTATGACGATTTAACACGTTCCTTAGGTTATGGAGTGATAAAGTGCACTCAAAACGTATAAAGAGACTTGGCATCATTTGCTCTACAACTCTTGAGTTGTAATACTACCATAACTTTTTTTAATTAAATGATAATAATAATGTTTATATTCATCCTACTAATTATATACACGTTCACCTTGTTGGGGGTATTATAATAATAATCATCCACGACCATATTCCTAAAATTAGTCGATTTATCCTATACCACATCATTAACTTCATCACATAAAATAAACATCAATTTAAAAAAAAAAAAAAACGACTTATGGTATTTTGAGAAATTATTGGGTGTGGACTGTGGAGTTGAGCTCTTCCAGTGTTTGAGGAGAAGGAAAATTATGAGGACACTGTACACTGAAGGAATGAACGTTATTAATTTACGATTTTGCCACTCTTCTCAATTCCTCTTCCTAAACCTAAAGGTTCCGTTCCTTGTTCCTTCTTCGCAAATTGGAAAATTAACTCTAAGAAACCACATTCCTTCTTCCATTTCCTTCAAAAACCGTGTAATTTCTCCGATTCAAGCATCTATGGCCTCATCCACTGTCACAGAAACGGAGACAAAGCCATTCTCGGTGCTCTTTGTGTGCCTTGGCAACATTTGTAGGAGCCCAGCTGCTGAAGGGGTCTTCACAGACTTGGTCAAGAAAAGGGGTTTGGATTCCAACTTCAAAATCGATTCTTGTGGCACCATCAATTATCATGAGGTGGGTATATCCATAAATTTTCTAATATCAACAAGAAAATCATTTTTTACATAGTAATAATAATAATAACAACAACTTGATTTAATAAATCCCTTTATGATGGAATTTTTCAGATTGTTAAAAGAAAAGAAAAAAAATTGATTTTTTGGAATGTTGATAACTTTTAAAGGGAAATGAAGCAGACCCGAGAATGAGGGCAGCCTCAAAAAGGCGTGGGATTCAGATAACTTCTATTTCGAGGCCACTTAAGCCCTCTGATTTCATTGACTTTGATCTCATTCTTGCTATGGACAAGCAAAATAGAGGTAGAATCTGAGATAATGGAATGTTCGGTTATGTGTTATGTGATGTTTTATATAATATGGGCTTGGATGGGATATTTATGGTTGTCTCAGTTTATGTGTCTTTGGTTTGCTATTTAGAGGACATATTGGAGGCCTTCAATAGATGGAAATTTAGACAGACTTTACCAGAAGATGCACATAAAAAGGTTAGTACAAGATTTTGCTGGCCTTTGGGGCTTTTCTTTTGTATGTTTTTTTTTTAGTGTGAGTATGATGATACAGGTTAAGTTGATGTGCTCATATTGTAAGAAGCATGATGAAACTGAAGTCCCAGATCCTTACTATGGTGGACCGCAAGGTTTTGAGAAGGTATACTATTATCTGTGTTGGGTTTTTTATTGGTTGAAGTGGAATAGCACTACACAATGCAACGATTGTCTTGAATCATGAATTTCAAACATTCAATAATTGGTTGGTCAGTGTCAGTCTCACATTGCTGATGATGCAGGAAATTCACCCTCTATAATAATTTAAAAACACTATCTTGTTGTAAAGAAGAAAAACTCTTTACTCCTTGGATCAGCTCTGCTTATTATCATTGTCTGGCACTGGCAGGTGTTAGATTTGCTTGAAGATGCTTGCGAATCATTGCTAGAAAACATTTTGGCTGAAAATAAACATATTCAAGAATCCTAATACCTTTTTTAACAGCCAGAGTATCCAATCCTGGGGTAAATTTGTAGAGATCAACGGTTTTCATCGATGTCAAAGTACCTTATTATTTCAGTGGTTCACTATCTTAAATCCACAATCTCTATACATGGGAAACTTATTTGCAATACTTATCTAAGAATTTGAGTCATAAATGCGTTTTTGTCTTTTTTTTTTTTTTTTTTTTTCTTCTGTTTATCACAGAAATACTGTCTGTGACTCAGCGGGTTATAGCATAGTTATGATAATCTTGCCTTTGATGACATGCACATGTTGCCACTTGCTTTAACCGGTGAAAAGAACTGCTTTATTTGTCAAGGCCTTTCAACTCACATATATTCTTTCTTTCTTTTTTCGAAACAACTCACGTATATTCTTAGTTCTTACATACGACCACTGCATTGCACCTAACAGTTCAAATTTCAGTTAGGAGGCGTTTGACAGAGGAAATATTTTTTTTTTATCTGAAAATTATGATTTTCAAGAATATGGTGTGAAAATGAATTTTTTGAAAATGTTACTAAAAAATTGTTTAATAGATTAAAATATTTCCGAGAATATTAGGTTAATTTTTTTGATGCTATATTTGATTATGTTAAATTTTTTCTTGCTATAGGAATATTAGAATACCACCATTGGATGGTATTTGCAGAAAATTTTATACATAAAATAAAATCTCAGAAAAATCAGATTCTCAAAAAAAAAATTAAAAATCTCGTACCAAATATGAATAAATAAAATTACCATCTTCAAATTTTCAAAAAATCTTCTACTAAACAGGTGCATTCATGTACGAGAGAGGATAAAAGTTCAACGTATTGGTGTTTGGTACAGGAAAAAAATTTTGGTGTCTGAGAATCATAATTTTCAGTAATATGATAAGAAAGTAGATTACTTAGGAATGTTGCAAAAAAATTGTTTGGTATGCCAAAATTTTATCAGGATTATTTGGTTAATTTACTGAGTCTGTATTTGGTTGATTGTAAAATATTAGTAGGAATGTGGGGTTATTTTACAAAAAATATCCCCACCTTCATTTTTTATTCAAACATGATAATGAAGGTGTTCTTACAGAGAAACAATGGATATGGCTTTACTTGAGCCATTGAAAAAAAAAAATTGTAAACTCTGGAGTCGTAGAAGTTGATGCCTCTCGTAACTTCGAGGCTCTTCAAGTTCATTTCTTAATGCAGATGTTCGTGTTTCAAACATTCCAATTGCATTTTCTACAAGAGAGAATTCAAGTAACTCAGATTTGATTACTAATAACCTATTTACTAAAGCTGGAAATGAACCCTCCGTCTGAAGTACAGTGCGTCTCTTCCAATGATCTTCCAATCCACCTTGAGTCTTGCCATTTTTTGTAAATGGGGTATCAAACAAGAATGGGTCAAATACACAAGCACTGATGCTACCAGTAGAAAAAGAGAAAAATCTTTCTCTTTGAAGAAAGAGAAAGAGACACCAGTTATGAAGAATGGGTCAAATTCTTTTTGATGAAGAAAGAGACACCAGTTATGAAGATCAGCAGTAACACACGAAGGGTAGAATTATTCCGAAATATCAGACAAAATTTCCTCCAATCGGGTATTTCACAAACACCACCCCTTTGGTGGTAATTTGTGAAGATAAACTGGATCACATTTTGTTCATAACAGCAATTACATGGCAAACTGGATATCCGGGCACTATCTAGCAAAACTCCTATCAAACATGGCCTTTCACAAAACCTTAGTTAACTTTCCTGATAAAATTACAAACATCACTCTACCAAACAGGCCGCTAAGCTGATTGATTCACTTTTGTAGTTGGTCATTTTCCTGTCATTCCTTCTCTTTTACGACACCTGTATATTGAAGGAGAAAAGGCGAAGGATTGAATCTTCGGCACTTATATTTGGATTTAAGGAAACATCCACTAATAGTATCTTAAAGAAAAGGTGAAAAGCGATGAGAAAGAGTTACTTATATTTAAACATAAGGATGGAACATTAAGGGCTCTTTCACCCACTAGGGGTGTTTATTTCTTTAATTTATCAATTTGGTATTGGGTTAAAGCTATTTACGAATGGGGGTCATTTAGTGACGCGAGGGGGACCCAGCGTCACTGAGTGCCGCTATCATCCCCTCGCGTCACTCTCACTTTTTTTATTTTTTTTTACTTTTTTCTATTGAGTGCCGCCCCCCCTCCCCTGGGGCACTCACAGAATTGTGCCAAGTGGCACAATCTGGTTACTCCTATTACCGTAGAACTTCGGAAAGCCATAACTTTTGATTCGGGTATCCAAATTAGATGATTTTTTTTTTGATTTCACATAACTTTTCGAGATCTACGCAATGACATCTCATTTGACATATTTTATCTTCTATTAATATAGTTCAAATTTGCAACACTAATTACACTTTTTTACAGATTTGAATTATGTTTGTGAGAGATAAAATATGTCAATTGAGATGTCATTACGTAGATCTCGAAAAATTATGTGAAATCAAAAAAAAATCATCTAATTTGGATACCCGAGTCAAAAGTTATGGCTTTCCGAAGTTTTACGGTAATATGAGTAACCAGATTGTGCCACTTGGCACAATTCTGTGAGTGCCTCAGGGGAGGGGGGCGGCACTCAATAGGAAAAAGTAAAATAAAAAATAAAAAAGTGAGAGTGACGCGAGGGGATGGTAGCGGCACTCAGTGACGCTGGGTCCCCCTCGCGTCACTAAATGACCCCAATTCGTAAATACCTTGAACCAAATACCAAATTGATAAATGAAAATCACAAAAAACCTCAATCGGTGAAAGAGCCGAACATTAAGTCTATATTATGTAACAAAACTTACAAATTATTATTGGCTGGATATGTAGTTAAAACTTAAATTCTAAAGATAAAATATCAAGGGAAAAGTTCACCAATGCCCCTGTAGTTTGCTTCAGAATCATTTATGCCCCTGTGGTTTTTTTTCTATCACATATGTCTCTGTGGTTTGTAAAAAATAAAAAACCACAGGAGTATATGTGATAAAAAACATACCTTTTTGCAAACCACAAGGACATATGTGATAAAAAAAAACCAGAAGGAGCATCGGTAATTCTGAAGCAAATCACGTTGACATTGGTGTAGTATTTAGGAAGACTTAAAAAAAAAATGCTAAACGTGTTTCCCTATTATTGTAGACTCATAATACTGAAATTTATTGAGTTCCAAATTCCAAAGCACCTGAGCTGTTTCGGCAGCGCACCTACATTTACTTTCATCTACTTTGTGGGAATAAAAATTACTTTTATCTCTACTTTTTTCTTTCAGCAGAGCTGAATTTCTAAACAACCCCAGAAAGGGGAATTTAATGCTGAAGCAAGCTACGTTATCGTAACATTCAAACGACAATGCACGGGGGAATACGCTACATTGCAATGAATCAGTGATTAAGATCATCGTCATGTGGAATTCCTCTAATAAAGTAAAAAGTTGGGATTTAGAGAAAAATAAAGATTAAAATATTAGTTTAAATGAATTTTCCCTGTAGTACCCAACATTTGTTGCCTCACATGACGTCCAGCCTGGGTTTTCAAATAGGACAATGTTATTTGCGCATCTTTACACACTGTTACGTCACTTCTTTCTTAAATGAAAAGAAAAAACACATTTGCAATATATTCACTCTTTACATTTCTCCCAAAATGATTATGTACAAAAATCATTTTCCATTCAAATATCATTTTCCTGCAATTTTTTATACTTACGATAAGGAATAACCATGTCCTTGGAACATATTCATTCCATAGAAAAAATGGCATTCGTTCAAACGAGAGAACGTTATCATTATAGTTTTCAGCAAAAAAACAACAAACCACAAAACAAAATTAACATATATACGAGTGTCACGAGTTAGTCCTGCTTTCTTGATACAACTAATGTTTATATCTATTTATATTTTCCTTCTCTCTTAAAGTAGTCGCTCTCCCAACAAAAGGATACACATAGCTCGGGCTAAGTTCATCCAACATCCATTTGATGATCATTGTCATTGTCACCTTCATAAAATTCATCATCGCGCTGAATGTGCTTGTCTTGAGTGTGCTCTGAAAAGAGAAATATCAAAATCAATAAACTAAGATTTACACCAAGTCAAGAGGGAATAAGGAAAAAGGATTTTTTTTTTATTCTCCTTACGATCAACACGCTCATCAGGGTTTTGCTCATCTTCATCAAAATCAGGAATGTAGAAGTCAGGTGGAACCTGTGAACCGCAAAATGTTAGTTTCACCTCGTGGAAAATATTACTAGTTCACATATTGCCACTGATCAGCTTTGATTAAAAGTGGTTTGATCATGACATCACCAAAGGAGTTTGAATTCGTCCAAAAAAATTCAACAAAAACAGAGTAACTAAGATATCGAAGGTTAATCATGACATTCCAAGTTCGCTAACATGCATAAGGTAAGTAATAAATTTAGTCTCACAAGTGAGGAGAGCTTGAACACCTAAATAACTTTACTATGGCCGTGGCCCATCAGATTAAGCATTTTTACTGGATCAGTTGCTACTAATATTTGTTCCTAAATTTCCATCCAACAGAGTAACTACAGATATCGAAGGTTAATCATGACATTCCAAGTTCGCTAACATGCATAAGGTAAGTAATAAATTTAGTCTCACAAGTGAGGAGAGCTTGACTGCCTAAATAACTTTACTATGGCCGTGGCCCATCAGATTAAGCATTTTTACTGGATCAGTTGCTACTAATATTTGTTCCTAAATTTCCATCCAACTTTCGATCTCCATTCTCTCCAATCTTCAAATGAGTCTCATCTTAATTAAGAAGCACTAATAGCAAGGATTTTTGTTTATTTATTTTTTTACTTCAATTGCTTTAAATCCACCTCCCAAAGTAAATAATTGATTTGTAATCACATTCGTAGAAGTTCATGAATATAATAAAGGTAGAGAGGTTATAATTTGTTACATAACGCCACTAAAATCAAAACAAAATCAACAATCACAAGAAACAACAATTTTACTTTTAAGTTGAGCCGCTCACCTCCTGCATTTGTACACTTGGAGCATGTTGAATGCAACGAAGATTTTCCAAGACTTGCATTTTGATGGTGCTAAGATATGATTTACTATTTAAATTCTCCTGATAAATTCAAAGAGGGAAAAAATGAGAACAGCCAATGGTATTATATTGTATAGACACTGCACGCTGCAAAATCTAAACTAAAACTATA